GAACCCGCGACCTTCAGATTGCGAGTCGAGCGCCCTAACCACCTGGCCATGCCGGGCCAGGACGCATGAGAGTCGTTTTATTTCGAATTTTTAATACTTTTCTTGTAATAATGTAAGTTGATTTTTCTCAGTGAGAATTTATGGCTTTCATATTACAAGATTGAGTACATTATATAGAAATAATTTTGAATATGCAGATCAGCACATAATGTGACAACAATAAACCAATGTAAAGTCGCAGTGGAATGGAATGAATCAGAACAACATTTTAACATTGTTTGGGATTTAGTGTAATACCACCAAAACTGTTCGCTTGTGTGAAGAGTATGCAACAGACCTTTCCAACGCAAAATATTCATAGAATCAAATCATAAAGATGTGTTTTCAGAACGAGGATATAGAACTTTCAAGACGAAGATATATTTTGATTTTAGTGGTATTGGAAAACAAAGGAACATAGATCAGCTTAGGGCATCCAGTAATTTCACTCCCCATATAAAAAAAATCAACGTTTAAAATTTCAGTTATCAAAGATTTTAAAAAGTGATGCAGCTTATGAGCTAATTATATTACGTTTATTACTATTACTACAAATATATAAAGATATGAACAAACGGTTGCAAGTTCTTCTTACTAGATATAATCTAGATAACATGATTGACTTTTTACGAGCAATAACTCATAACCTGAGTCATTTTTAATAATCTTTAATAAATGTCATTTTTAATGTTGATTGTTTTAATATATGTCACTTTTAATGTTTATAATGTTTTTTTGACATGGGGAGTGGAATTACCGGGAGTCAAATTAACCTATAACGTGTATCAAGACTGTCCAGAAAGAGATCTGCAATTCGTACCTCAGCCATGGTAAGTAAAGTGCGGCGTCTTGTAACAGATAAGAATCCACGAACATAAAGGTCAATGAAAAAAGCCATCCACATACCCCAGGCAACAGTGTGTAACATAATAAAGAAGGGTATCCGACTGGAGAAGTAACTCAAGTCTTGTATACACAGATTGCTTCATGAAATTTCAGTTCACTGTTACACACCTCCAGCAGCTGAAGAATGAAACAGGTATTTATGCTGGATTTATGCCGGATTAGTCGCTGGACGCAATGTGTAGGGATTTATATGCAACCAGATTGTTAAAACATGCGATAGAAATTCGTCGTCCTTCTACACTAGATGGATTGTAGAAAGCAGCATGGAGGGGTGATGCGCTTTACACACGACAGTTTTACGATGGGGCTTTTTACAATGAAAACTACGAGTCACATTTATCGTCAAGATGCATGGTCGTCAGATATAGTAGGATCGGACGAAGCGACATAGACTGTAACAACGTGGCGAGGCTCTAAAATCGTATCAACATAACGTACTCAACCCTCTATAATGTACGGCCTTGTAAGGTATGTACACTTATATATAACATGTGTTCACTACATATTATATACCTTTCAACCTTTAGCGGTAATTAGTTCAGTTATTCCATCATATTTTTGTTAATTATGTAAATCAATTAATATTTTTAGATGATTTAGTCAAGAAGTGTCCGCATAATGTGTGAAAAATTTTAAGCATTCAGGTAATTTTTATATTCATATAAGTATTAACTTACTTTTTCTCGGTATCATTTCGAAGTAGTCCATTTCAGCTTCTGGTGCAGGCTCGTAGGCGTGTGGATTAATATGAATTTCTAGATTTCCTTGTTGGTCAGCAGACCCCAAGTCTGAATGGATTGTATTTTTAAACTATACCGAAATAAAATTATATGTTAAAATAATAATTGTACATACTTTTACTTAATTAAATACATTTTCAAAGAAAATTTATAACTGTGGGATGATCTACGTCATAGTATTAAATGCGCCATCTAACGATAACCTGTAGAAATAAGTATATCTTTAGAGCGTAAGGACATAATTCAGATTTTAGAACTACTTGGTTGTATTATATTATACGATATTTTAAACAAAAATTATAATTCAGGTTTAAAGAGCATAATCATTATTCAATTAGTATCGTATAACACTGGACAACAAAAATTTTGCTACTGGAGAAAACTCAAGTGATTCGGATAATTTAATGGTGCTGATTTCAAATATGTAGTCAGAATTTGTTCCTCACCTATAGACTTTGAGTTATTGTAATATCTTAATATTTTATCAGCACTATATTAATTACCATGCAGTCAACTCAGTACAATAGATTTATGCTGCGAAATTAAGTTTAATTGGACAGTTCAATGGATAAAAGGCATACATTTTTGATAACTTCAAACACTGACTGTATTGTATTGGTGTAAAATTCCAAATATTTTACTCTTATATATTACTTGCTCTCAATATAATTGTGGTGAATTGCACCACTTCTGCTTCATTCCTATGCTCACCTGCCCCACTCGGGAATCACGAAATCCTCATGTGTTCAGTTTGCTAGAACATTCGAGAAGTCCCCCGACTTAGCACAAAAGGGGCGGAGTCAGATGCCTCTCTCTCTCAAATGCCTCTCACTCACTCACTTGGTCACTTCGCCTCGCTTCGCGTACAGTCAAAACAAAGTCCGATCTTCTTCCTCGCATCATAGCCGCGATAGAATCAAATTGTAGAAAACTTTGTTTTTTAAAATATTTTAAACTCTAATTCTGTAAACATACATTATTTCATATTTTGTAGAAAATCATTTGAAATGCTGGCTGCCTTCAGTTCAAGTAAAGTCCGAAAGTTCAAAAATCATCCAAACAGTTTCCGCTACATTTGAGGAAAATATATTACAGTTTCACGAAGGAAAAACATGATACACAAAGTAAAGGTAGCTTACTACCACTATTTCGGGTCTAAAATAGGTGTTTCTAGATATTCAGGTAAAGCTAAACAATACATTAAATATCGAGATATTGCATCGGCAATGAAACCAGTACCTCATGAGGATGGTCTTCCAGTGCCACATCCACCATCGAATTGGAAAACAGAAGAGTTATCCTGCGAAGAATACAATGGGTCATCTTCATCCTCTTCATCTAGTTATTCTATTCCAGTGGCATCTCAACATAAACTGTCTCATCTGATCACATAAGAAGGGCTTAATGATCTGATCCGTGACTTGTATCTGTAAAAGCATCATGGGGAACTTTTTGGCTCCCGTTTACAGCAATGAAATTTATTAGCTCCAGGAACAAGAGTATCAATTTACCGAAGTCGCCATCAATGTCTTGCTTCTCACTACAGCATGCAAGGTACTTTGAGTTTCTGTACAAATGTCGATGCACTAATGGAAGAATTAGGTACTGAACATCATTCTCAAGAATTGAGACTATTTATCGACTCATCTAAAGTTAGTCTGAAAACTGTTCTTTTGCACAATGGGAACACTAAGCCATCAATTCCTGTTGCTCATGCTGTGAACATGAAAGAAACTTATCAAAGCATGCAGATTATACATTCTTAAAGGAAATTTTCAATGAATAAATAAAGTTATTATATAAAAAGCTCTTATTTTCACAACATATAAGAATATTATGAATAAATGTATCATAATTCGCAAACTAGATGCAATCAGTAATTTTCAACATAATTTTTAGAATCGGCATCGTCAAATTACTCAGAAACAGCTGCATTTTTTTTCTAGTAGCAAAGGAAAAATTTTTGTTGCCCAGTGTAATCCAACACATTTCGGTTTACATGTAATTGTGGTTAGTAAATTTTTGAAAATACCACTTCAAATAATTAGACATTCTTGGAAAGTCAAACTACAAGCAGAATGTAACTTCATTTATTGTAAAACTAAATAAAAAAAATAAAAAACAAACAACAAATGATTAAGTTAAATTTTCTTGTTTACATCCAGTAAAACTGTGTACTTATACATTTCTCTCTGCTTCCATATTTTACATCTCGAAGAAGTAACACAAGAACCAAGAATTTAAAACAAATTGTTTATCTCTATGAGGGACACTGGGAGGACTTATAAGAAAACGCTGATATTAAAATACTACTTTGGAAGAGCGATGGGCAGCCACTGGCCTTCGGAGTGCATAAGGACCCATAGGGGTCAACAGGTGACTCCATGAATGTGTTTCACATATAGCTTGCTTTTATTCAGATTTGTCTTTTTTTTGTTAACTCGTAAAAGGGCTCCTGCGTATCTTTAGGGTGTTAGAGGACCGAAAGTGTGACCCACATATTAATTCAGGTTGCCCCCACTGCTTTAGAAGAACCTAAAAAAAAAAGGTGTCAAGAAAAACCATTCTAATGATAAATACCGTAAATAAATAATTTAGATATACTAAAAAGGAATAGAGTAAAATTCAAACAATAAGTAAATTTAATGATGATTGATAATGTCAATCAAAGAAAAAAAAGGTAGAATTATAATGAAAAGGTTATGGATATATGCAAGGGAAGTTTATAGTATCAGCCAAAACACAAGCTCTCCTCCCTACAAGTAAGGAGTCCTATCGTAACACTTACTTGAGTGCGCAGTCCAGATAGCGTAGCGCTTTCCCTAATATCGTACCACTGACCACAGAAAGGCAACTATCAATCTACTTTTTATATATATATAATTAATTAAATTAAAGTAACAATGAATAAATTAACATATAATCAAATAACATGTATCAAAAATTTATATATATATATTTGACACAAAGTTCCCAATTTAAATAAGAGAGGACTTGTGTCTATTAATAGCTGCTCGACACTATAGCAACAGTGCAAAAAGACACAAGTATAGCCTATGATCAACAACTTGGTATATAAATGCATAAATTGAGCAAATTAAATCAAGTTAACTATTGTATTCTCGAAATATTTCGAAGTTAGTTGGAATATTTATAAGAAATTTAGAATAACATCAATATTTCTAACAACAGTAATTTAAAACAATAGCTCTAAAAATGCTTCTCTAAGGCCACGTCGTATCTTTTTAACTTACACATTTACAACGCTAAAATCTGAGGTTCGATTCCTCGTAGTGGACTGAGCGCATATGGCCCATTGTGTGACTTTGCATTAAAACAACAACAGAATTTCTTTCATTTAAAAAAGATATAATTTAGTTTGAAGACAGTAAAGCCAGAAAATAGAAGAGATGAACCCAAGTTATTAAAAATTGGGAAGGAAAATTTTTAATTGGTTGCAAGCACAAGAAGTCATTAAAAATGTATTTAAACTCTGGAAGGATAGGAAAAAAAACAGAATTATTTGATACCTGTAATTCAAAAAAACAAGTAATATATATATATATATATATATAATAAAAGTAAAAAACAAATACAAACTATAGAACGAA